CTTCCCCAAGGACAAGGTCTACCCTGGACAGAAACCAGCCAGGCTCCAAACCTGCTTGAGCCCTGTTTGATCAGGGAAGTTGTACTGGAAGGAGATTATGTTATTTCACAGTGCGACCTGTCAAAAAATTCTTTCCCGAGGAAAACACGTTCATTGTGATGCTCAGAGGGGACTTGCAAGCACATTCCTGTTTTGGGAGGGGAAAGGAGTCACGCCATGTTTCACAAACTGTGGAAGGTTTTTCTTAGGGTGACAGGAAAGAGGGAATCTACTCAACAGCCTGATCCCAAACCAAGAAACATTTATTACTGCAACAGCTGGGTGAAGAACAGGACCCCAGATATTTCCCCACACCTAATAGACTCCTGTTCTGCCTCAGATGTTACATATTTATGTACTACCTATCTGATCAGAGTCTTGCCTCAAGCTACTTTCCCTTGACACATCAATATCTCCCCCATGTTTTACAAGCCTGATTCTCTTCCAGCTCATCAGCCCAGTGCTCTTTTTTCATTCATGGATTGGGAGTTTTATTAACTGACCCATTTCTCCTGCTCAGACATCGCAACCCCCACTCACTACTCAAGTTCACTGCTGTAACATTTCAAAGCTTTGCACAGTGGCTACACAGGCTCAACAGGCAGATATTATATCATCCTTCACAGGTAAAAACATTCAAGTAGAATATGCACATGGAATTTAAGTTGCTTAAGGTGGCTATGAGATTTACACAAACAGTTCTCAGGTAGGTAATGCACTTAGTTATGGGAAACTTTGTCTAGATACAACATACAAAGCTGAGACACTTACTCTATTGTTTAAATGAATTAAAATCTAACATCTTTTTTAAGAATATTAAAGAAAGTAAAGAAAATAAAATATACTCTGAAATATAGGGCTCGATCACTAAATCTGGCCTACCTGTACCCATAGCTGGGCCTGAGAGGAGGCAGAGATGTCTTCCATCTTCCATCTGGTCACAGACCATTTGAGTTTCTTGAAAAATGTAATAAGGCTATTTTTTTCCTAGTTTGCACTGAATCGCAAAGAGTTGCCCTAACAGCTTGAGCCTGTTGCATGATGCTGCTACTGTAGCCACAACTTTTCCCAGTTACTCCCACCTCTGATATACCCCTCACCACTCAAATTTAAATTTTAGAACAGTTTAAATCAAGAAATGCAGCTTTACAAAGGCACAGAAAGCCCACTATGCACTTGTTGCATGCCTTTTCCAATACACCAGATGGATTCTTTTCCTGAACACTTCTGTCCTGTGCATCCCCATCTCCGCTTTGACACCGCAGTTCTCCTTTCAGAGTGGGATGCCTATACAAAAATAACTCCTTTAGGACAAAGAGTGAAAAGTACTATCCCAAAGCAACGCAATTCCTCTAGGACACTGAGCTGTAGCAGCGAGTGCTAGCAGAGTCACCCCTACAAGGATCCTTGGTACTCTCTCCCGACAGCTTAACCAATTCCTTGCATCAGCACATTTCACCCCCCCTCCTGTGGAGCCTGACAGAGGACCCTGGGGGGAATGCAGGACAAGCAGCGACCTGTTTGGGCACCGCTGCTTTCCTTGGCACCAAGGAACATGCTCTTTTCACCTTCCACACCTTCCTAATCACCTGTGCCCCTGCTGAGCAACTGACTTGGCCAGGCCTTGTGTCACATATCCTGCCTTTGTGAGGGAATTATTTCCCAGATCAAGGCCCTCGATGTTTTCCCTGTTTGTAAACTTCCTTGGGAACCAGGGAACTAGCTGAGATTATAAACATCATATTAAGTATTCCTTCAGTCTGGCATACTCCAGATATGATTTAAAGATCTTAGTTTCATTTTATATATATAAGCCGGGTCTTTTTTTTGCTAGTGCGGATCTACCTACAGCTATGCTGGCAAGGAATACAGCCCATCAATCTTATAATGCATACAAGTCGGGCACTTGAAATGAGCACAAAACCTGCCAGTTAAACAGGAAGTTCACTCTTTTTTGCATATTTTCAAGGTTACTCTCCCACATCATTTAGACAGACTTTGTACAATTCCCTTCTTATTTGTTAGTGTGCAGAGAAGAAAATAGGACCTTATTCTAAACTTAAATATTGAAGCACAGATGCTTTCCTAGTTAATCTATAGGATTTTTGTCAAGAAATCATAAAGTTTGAGTTTTATACATTGCTGCCCGAATTAAAATATAAAGGTTCCCTTCCAATATGCTGCTCTTTTAGAGGTACCAAGCACCATATCCTACTTATCTTCCCGTGAGGCACCACTGTAGGAAGTCCCACAGAAATCAATCAGTTGTAAAAATGCCATTTGTTTCCACACAGTTAATGTAAACAAGTCAGTGCAGATTACAGATTCACTAATTGAATTTGTAAGCTGTTCTGAACACGCTTTCAGAGAGACATACTGATGTATTTTAGCACTCCAGCATCTGGGGTAACTCTATCAAAAACTAAAAAGACTCCACCTATTCCAAGTTTGCTACTCTAGATAAATGTGAACAGTAGTTAATTAAGCCACCTTTGACAATTTCATTACCCTTCTAATCATTCTTGAGTGCTATTCAAAATTTTGAGTGGAGCAGTTCACTGTTGAAAATAGACACACATATATAAGCAAAGTAATTACTTGAAATCAATATGTTGCAATTCTTAGGGCTGTGCCACTAATTTTTTAGAAATACTTGGGTACTGAAAATCCGTGACAATATTTATGAACTTCAGAAGCTTAGCAATTTTGTACCAAAATTATGGTGGTTTTCTCCCCATCATTCCTCTGTTAAAATGTTTTGGTTATCCAGTCAGAGAGCAGAAGCAATGTGATCATCACATGCCAGGAATTATGAATAACAAATAGCAGTTGTAGCATACAGTTTGTGAACCATCTTTTCTGTAAAAACTCTTCACTCAAACTATTTAGTGAATACTTATGCATGATAAATACATTCACAGATCTCAAGGATGATTCACTTTTGACATGTGAATGAAGAAACAAGACTAAATTAATCTTGTTCCCAATTCACTTAATAAAATTAAACCCCACCAAAGTACTTCAGTTTGATTTATAAAGCTTTTAGGATATAATGCTTTGTGAGACAGTTACTCAAGATACTACCTCTTTCCTCCTGCAATGCCACAGAGGAGATAGATACTGCATGGCTTGCAGGAACAGACCGACACCACAGCTCATCATTTTTAGTGAAGGCATTTTCATGGACAAGTCCAGTAAAGAAGCATGCATTTCCCCAGCTAGTCTGGTAGAATTTGAGGCCTGTTTACTTAATTCTCACATCAGGACAGAACTTTTGTCCTTTTTTTTAATCTATAGAAGTCTTTAAAAATTATATATGTGAATCCTGTCCTTGGGAAATAAGAGTCAATGCCCTTAATAAACAAATATGCAATGAAATGAATGCACAAATATTGCAGACTCTGGTAATGACACAAACTTACATTTGGACATCCTTATCCTCTGCTCATAATGACGTAATAAGCTCAGGTCTCAGTTGCAATAACAGTTGACATCAAATGAAACTACTGTGCAGGCTATTGAATCTGTACAAATAGTTCTCCTCACAGAAGATACGCTAGTTGTCTTTCATGCTGTTCGCAATACACAAAATTCTTATCTGACCTGGAATCACGGGATTCTTACGGTGGTAAATATTATACTTGGCATGCATTTGTAGGATGATGACTTGAAGTATTGTATTTATAGTTGGTAGTATTCTTTATACTTGTATATTATTATACAAAGTTTGTGACCTATACCTTTGAACAGCTTACGGAAGTAAAACAAAATAGAAAGGTCAATGAAAATATTACTTCTCTAATGCTTTCTAAAAGAGTAGACCAAGTATCAAAATGGCCAAGGTGACAGATGAAAATTAGACAGTTTCTGTTTGTTCACCCTAAAATAACACTCCAAGCCTTACAAAAGCACACCAGATGACTGATGTCTTCCTTCATATATCTATCTTAAGGCCAACACCGCTGGGAAAAAATTATAAGAAATTTTGCCAAGACCTTATCCCACAACAAACCACGGGGAGAGGTGCCTCGGAAGCCCTGCACCCTGGCTGGGGCTGTGGGATGGGCCCTGGCTGGGACTCCCTGCCCTGCTGCCCTGGGGGAGCTCCTGGTGCTGCAGCAGCTGGAAACAGCTGGGCAGGTGGATCAGGATCAACTGCTGAGCGTGCCTGGCACTATCACAGCCCTGCACATGGAAGTTTGACCATGCAAATCCAGGCAAGCACATACATTTTAAGCACCTTAGGAAAGCGCAGTAAATGTTTCATTAGTTCTCCCTAAGAAAAGAAAGTGTTACATTTGTGCCACTAACCACAAAAGCTATTTATAGCTCTTTTGAGGCAGTGGCTGAACTGGTTAGGTCAAGCAACAACATGCAATTAAAAATTGTAGAAATAATCATTTCTCTCTACTCAGCCGGTTTATGCAGGTGTGAGCGCTGCCCTCTCAATACTTCTCTCATTGTACCTAGTAGCTTTCTGGCCTTTTGAATTTAGCATATTTACAAGTTTTCATACCATGAAACCATTAAGTATACTTAATCTGCAGCAATAAACTATAAGGCAACTTCATTCATATGCTAAAGTACAGCACCTCATTCAGCAAAGCTATGGCAACACCTGCTAAGTCTTCTTTAAAACTTCATCCATTTAATAACAACTAATTAATACAGAGTTAATAGAGATATTGTCAAACCATTATAGAAAGAATAAATTCTCTGCTTGTACCAATGAGAAAATGTTTATTGAAGTCAATGGATCTGGCCCTTACTACACAGAAAATGTGATTTCTAAACTGTGTGTTTTCATGCATTATTGAAAGATCTCTGAAATAAATTTGAGGGTGAGGGTTGCAGTACTAATCCAGTTGGAAAAAAACACAAATAGCACACCATGTGACTAAGCCCAAATAATTCACGCTTTTAGAGACTGATGTTCACTTTTAGTTGCTTTTTTTACTTACTGCTTTATATGTTCTCTTTTGTCCAGCATGTTTTCTGATTTGTTCTCCATTAGGCCCAGTTTCAACATGCATGGAATAGATTATGTCAAAGAAATCTTCTACGACGGCTACCCGCCGTAAAGACAGCTTCTCATCTACACCTACTCCATCCTGAAAAGAAAAAAAAAGAGAAAAGAAAAGGTAAGGAAGACAGGATGAACAGATAAATTATGACAATCATGGGATGCATTCTCCTTTTTTAGCAGGGAGTTAAAGACCCTTCCACTGAGATCTGAAGGTCACCCACCCTGTGAATGACAGAAACAGTATTGTAGGAAAGCTGTATGATCAGAAGGATCACATGGACCCTTGCAAGCAGTCCATTTTGCCAAGCCAGGGCATCTGGCCTCTTGATAGAAAGTGATCTTTCACTCCAGTATTTATAAAATGAAACAAAAAATATCTGTGCTTCTTTCTCCAAATGCACAAACAAGATTCAATGGTAGAAGCAGTCCCAAACACATGGCACAGAAATGCATTATGTGGTGGTTAATAAGAATGCAACAGCTCTTTTATCCTCTCATTCCCCTCCCAGTAAATCTGCACCTAGCATTTCATAAAGATATTTAATAAAAGGTTTTAATTCACAGGTGACAGAGCTGACTGTAATTATGAATACAAAGGAAGTTGTTACAAACAAATTACCCCTGCAAAACCTGCTTCAAAACACACCACATGAAGACATAGCACAATATGAGGAAAAGAAAGGGATATTTTTAAAATTTGTGATTTTTGCACACAGATGTCCAGTTGGAACAAGTGACAGAAAAGTGAGGACACCTACCATCTGATTTTCAAAAGTGATAGTGCCATGGCAGCTAAAGACTTCTAAACAGAAACAGTCCCCAATGTCTCTGAAATTAATCACTGCAGTTCAGTTCCCGCCTTTTAAACAGGACCATCCATATGAGGGTTTTTTCTTTTACAGCTGTCTATGGATTCAATTCTAATGAAGGGGCAGGAACTGGGACTCTTGTTTTTCCACAGCAGGCATCTATCAAGCAGGCTGTGTTTTGTAATACAATATAAGTATATGAAGAATAAAATAAGAATGGGCAATTCACTTGTACTCCACCATAGTATTTGAATTCAGACCTCTGGAGGCAGCAGTGTCACCTAAGCTTCAATGTGTATTTTAAGCAATAAGGGCGCTCCAAACTTAACACATTTGATAATACCATTACTGCTGCTGTAACTCATGTCACAACAAAACCGATTTATATTGACCCTTTTGTGACCAAACACATGCAGTTATTGCTGTGGTGACCAAATAAAGATGAAAGATGAGAAATGAAAAGGCAGTAATTATGTATGACTCCCAGTTGCCGTCCCCCTGCTCATAACTTCTTGCTAATCCATTCCAGTAAGTTTGCTTGATGTGAACAACCATGATTTTTTTTTCCTCACTGCCTCTATTTTTATTCCAGCCCACTTATTTTTATTTTTCATAGAGTTCATGGAAAAGAACCCAAATAGTCCCAATGGCTCTGAAGAACCTCCAAGGGTGACAAAGAGGAGTTTTGACACATTCCCAGTAGTGATGGAGAAAATGTCAGTGCCTTTATAGAGTAACTTTCTAAATGTGCATGACTCTAAATGATATCAGGTTAGGATGTGTTGATATGCTACCAGCCAGACAAGTTTTGTCCTATCTTGCTCCAGTATGCCCAACCTTCTTCAGAAAGGTCCCTGCCCAAAGCTATGTGATCCCTTCCATCTGCACAGCAGGTTGTGCTCTTTGTCCCCAGGAGACAACTGTACCAGAGCAGAACTCCCGCATATGCATGATGAGAGGACTACCACAGTCCTGACGGAAGTGACTGTGTTGAGAATTCAGAGTGGAGGAAGATGAAGAATTTGCAGTGCAGACAGGTTAAAGCCTCAGAGAGATCAGCTGGGAACAGTTGCTCTGAGAAGGCGGCGAGGCTCCTGTCCCATGAACAGTCTCTAAAATTTCACTAACCACCAGCTCAAAAATTTTGTGGCATCATGACAGGTTCTGGTATCAGCATCATTAAGAATTCGTTTGGTATTGCCCACTACCATTGCCCACTATTTAAAAAAAAAAATGTTTTAGAGATGGGACCAACACAAAATCCAGTCTTTGCAGCTTTAATCTTTAGGGGAATTCACACGAGCTTTGTAGGGGGCCCCATCTTCAATCATTATTTTCTCACCACCCAAACGGCACGGCGGGGTCCCTAATGATTTCAAACACTCTTATTATGACGACAGTGTTATCTCATGCCGCTCTCCGAACACTCAGAAGTTTATAGTGTTGATTAACTGATAAAGATTTAATCTGTTTATTACTAATGAGTTTTGTTTTAGGAAATTTCCTATGGGGGAGCTCTCTTTTTTAATTAAAGAGAAATGCATTACAACAATATTAATTTAAAACGTGAGATGCCACCTCAGCAGAGCTGACACATGCAAACATTAGGAATACATTCAAAAAAGAAACTCAAAAACAAAACTCATTTTGCTGCTTTTGGTAGCCATAGTGTGCAATGCTCTTGTTTCACAGTCCTCCTACATCCCCTTACACTGATACCCAAAGGCAGGTAGGCATGATGTGGGTGCGCTCTTGAAGCTGCATTTCTCCATACAGCTGAATAAAACTCTAAGCATTGCTACTACTGCTAAAAATACAAGGAAATAAAATCAGCACAAACTCTCTGTCATGCCTCCTAACTGAAGTGCCAGAAAATGAACACAAACTTTCCAAATCTTGTCAGTCAAAAAGGGTAGGAAAAAAATGGTTTACATGGAGTGGAAACTGCTTCAGGGGAAGACAGTACTATTATTTAACATCTACACATGTAACTTCATCATAACTTTATCTGGTGGGGCCTGGACCTGATTAGGTCAGGCTTCAATCTGCTGCGTGCTGTATAAGGCAGTAAGGTAGACCTTGTTTCAGAAAGCCTGCAGTGCTGCAGAAGGTGCTGAGCTGCTTTGAGTAAGCTGTTCAGTCCATCTGGCAACTAGCAATGCTGTGCAGAGATGTAAGCTTTAGCTGCAGAAGCAATACACCAGATGAGTAACTTGAATAAGATAGCTACTTACTGAGACTTTTGATATCCCAATACTGACATCCCAATAAGTAAAAAGTTGGGCAAATGATACAAACTCAAATCTCCATTTAAACCATAAAGTCTCTGAAGTGGACACAGTTGTATCAGGTTTTCCTGCCATATGCCATTACACTACACTTTTATCCTGAAATTGCTATTTGATAAAGGCATTAACAAAGCAGTTCTACTTCATAAGCTGGCTTTGGGTAAAATTTTTCACAGTGCCTAAGGGGACATTTTTTTAGCCTCAACTAAGGCTAAAAAGAGACAAATCACGGAATACATGATAATGCTATGTAGATGTCTGAAAGGCTATGAAATGTCCACAAGGGACAGGACAAGTAATAGGCTTAAACCACAGCACGGGAGATTTACATTAGACATTAGGAAAAACTTACTATTGATGTGGATAGTCAAGTACAGTAATAGTTTGCCTGGGGAGGCTGTGGGATGTCTGTCACAGGAGGATTTTGAGACCAGGTTAGACAAATATCTGTCAGGGATCGTTTGAGTAAATCCTGTCTTGGATAGACTAGATATTAACTGAGTTCCTTCTTGATAATTCTATGACTGAGAAGCTTAAATGCCACTTTCAAAGTGACTTGGTTACTAACAACTCTGGAATAGCAAGGAGGATATTTATAAATCACAGATGTATTTTTAGGACTTTCATTCATCATGGCAACAGTCCAAGCTCTACTTTCAAAAATTACTTAGGAATGGAAGCCTCACTGGATGTTTCACTTCAAAAATTGGACTTAGACTCTTAAATCTTTTAGGCTGAGCTTCATCCCACTTGTTCCAGCCATCACAGAGCTATGCCCCTATCCTAAACCAGTTGTCTCAGATTCCTCGCCAGCCAACAGCGTGACAGGCAGTGCCAAGATACAATTCATCCCTATAGCTGCTGGAATGGTTTCAATCTCTACCAGTGAGAAATTACTTAATTTTACTCTTTGCATTGCAGGGTTTCCTGTTTACTCTTGGTTTTATGTTTATTCAGTGCTCTTCCTATGTTCTTAGGATACAAATAAATAGATGTTTCTTTTCATTTTCAGCCCTCCAAATTCCATTTGCACTCTGAGATTGAAGATGTTTGGTTGGTTGGTAGGTTTCAGATGTCTACACAAAGAATAAATTTCTGGACAGTATTGACTTTTACAGAGAGTTGTGTACCTCTTGGAAAGTGCTAAGGATCCCTTTGAACAAGGATGCTTGAGGAGAGAGTCAGTCTGTTTTACTGAGGTGGAACCTACAGGGCTAGTGGGACTGAAGAAGGGGGAAAAGGTTTGCCAGTGAAGTGAACAGATAAAACTATTAGTCAAGACAGCAAAAAGATCTATTAAATGAAAGGCTGTCATTTTTACAGTTACTTTGCAGAGGAGAAAAAAATTTAATACAAGCCTTTAAAATTAAAGCCACTGAAACAAAAGTGCTTGCAATTCCTTGCTTGAGAATACCTACACCATCTTATGTTGAAATTTCTTGGGGGAAATAGGTCTCATAAAACACCCTCTCAATTTGTGAATGAATATAACTATCAGTATCTTTACCACATTTGAAAAATATTCCTATAAACACATGATAGACAGAAATAGAAAATAAAAGTAAAGGCTTGGCTGGTGGTTCTGCGGAAAATGTTCAGCTCTATAAAAACCTCCGTTGTAAAAGCATCAAAGCCAGAAGCATCTACAAAACATTAGGAGTAGATGGAAATAACAATCAACCTAAATATTTAATTACAGAACACAAATCACATACAAATGTAAGACTGCTTTGATTGCAGAAATATGTGTAACAACAACCAACCAGTTCAGACAGCAGAGTTAAAGCACATCTGTGTCACCACACCTCTGCTGACTAGTATCGCCTCTTGCAGTCTTGAAAATGCATCTCCCCTGGAAGGGAAGCAAAGTCTTTTGCTGACTAAAACATTGTGCTCTGAACAAACTACATCCTTACAAAAAGTTTTGCACATAAACCCCCACCTTGTTAGCTTATACGTAATGAGCTCCTGACATGATTGTATGTAGG